TCGCGCGCAACCCTCGTGTCCGTCAAGATACGTTGTGGCGACTCGCCACGGTCCGGTCACATCTGCTTCGGTCGGTTTCATCGCCTGACTGTTTCGGCGTACACCCTCTGGACTCGCCGTTCTCGCAGGATCCTGCGAGACGTCGACATTCGACCATCACTGCGGCAGAGAATCTCTACCACTCAAGGGTTGGTTCACTGTTACCGAGCCACTCCCGGCCAATCCTACGAGCCTCCACAGCGGAATGCGGTCTGGGCAGACTCTCACATCGTTTACGTGGCCCTCGTCATTCACCGCATTGTCGACGTTCTTCCGAATGGACTCTCGTGGCCCGCTCACAGCCCTGCGTGCGCTGCTTCGACAAGCCTGCCCTGAGTCCTCGATGGCTCGCACTATGGACCAGCTATACCGCTGGCCACCTCCCTGTCTGCGGAGGTCTCAGGACGGACTTACGAGTGGTCCCAGTCCCTAGCACCGCTCCAGGCCATCCAGGCGGCTGGAATGAGGGCCGCGAGGCACAGGGCCGCGGCGACGACGAGACTCTTTGAATATAGTAACCGAACCGGACTCTCGGCAGTCGAACTTGGTCGACTCAGCTGCTGTTAACTCCGTCCGATGTTCTCTCTGTAATGGCAGCGGCCGGGCTATGTGGGGCCGCAGTCCTTGAACGTTCCGCCCCCCCGTCCTTCAGCGCCGTCCTCTCCCCAGGGTCATCCCGACTATCCTGGTCGCCGTGACGATACCGGCCGCCCCGCCGCGTGCTCCCTCCTCGACCGAGTCGATGGCCGCCAGCGAGATGGGCGCGATCAGGAGGCCGAAACCCAGCCCTGCGATCACCAGGTGCAGCGTCAGCGCAGGGTCGCGAATGCTCGTGTCCCACCCTGGCCATTAGGCTGAAGCCCACCGCCGCGAGCACCAGGCCGGCCGCCGTCGGCACGCGGTAGTCGAAGCGCTGGCAGGCGAGACCGCCGATGAACTCTCGCGCCACCTTCTGGCCGCCCCCGTGGTCATTGCGCATCACCAGAGGCCCGCCGTCCAGCTGCGGTCATTCCCATGACCTTATTCCGCCTCAGTGGCAAATCGTCACCATTCCGATGATCAGGGCCGCCCCCACGAACACGTGGGTACCGGACGCCGCGCCGAACGTCGCCCCTCTGAAAGACCGCGACATCGCAGCAGCGGGGGCTGGGCTGGAGAGCTGTCGTCTACGATGCCCCCAGCGCGAAGGCGGACAGCAGCAGGTAGCCGACCATCAGGGCGTCCGGCTCCCCGATCCTGGCCAGGCCGAGTGCATGGCCGCCAGGCTCGCGGCTATCAGCGCCCCGCCCGTGTAGTCGACCCTTGCGGCGGTCCTCGGGCTGGTCGGGAGCAGCCACATCACCAGCGCGAGCACTACCAGCGAGAGGGGTATGTTGATCCAGAAGACCCACCGCCAGCCCTGATCCTGGTTGAGCCACTCAGCGAGCCCTGTGCGACAGGCGCGTTGGACCAGACGGCGCTCCACAGCCTGTCCATCTGCTGGGGCACGAGGCCGCCCCAGAGCGGCCCTATGACGCCGCCCGCCTCCGCGGAGGCGCCGATGAGCCCCAGCGGCAGCCCGCGCTGGCTGCGGGGAACAGGTCGCCCGCTATTGCGATGGCGACGGGCACCAGCGCCCCGCCCTGCGACGCCTGGCATACCCGGTCGGCTATCATAGCATCTCAGAGTCCGGGAACTCGACGCCGGGCGGGACCTCGACTGGAGCATCGTAACTCTCCAGTCGTGACACGTCAACGGCGACGGAGCCGGCCATGAAGACCCCCATCGCCGCGAAGAACACCTGCCTGCGGCCCCACACGTCTGAGACGCCGGCCGATTCAGTCGGCAGCGCGTCATGTAGCCAGCAGGTAGCCCGTGATGGTCCACGAGGCCTTGTCCAGCTCCGTGACGGCAACCCTCATGTCGAGCATGATCTGGGGCAGCACCGTCACGATCACCGTCTGGTCGTCGGCCGCAATGAAGACGCCGACCAGCACGGGGACAAGTGCAACGTAGGGCGAGACCTTGCTGCCGGCCGAGCTCATGGGAGCCGTTCGCGCGTGCGGCTACTGGGGCGGCTCGATCACGATAGGCTCGCCGAAGTCCCTCAGCTCGATCGTGCGGACTATGCCCTCGGCGTCGGACTCGATGACGCGCCCCGAACACATGGCTTCCAGCAGGTAGTGGCGCTCCGCGTCGATGGTTAGGTCCACGTCCACGTAGGCGTCCTGGATGGCCGTGCCCAGCAGCGGAGAGAGCGCGGCGGCGGGCAGTGTGCCCGTCAGCCTGTGGACGTCCTCCCTGCCGGTCTCGACCTCCTTGGGCTCCTCGAGCTGCAGCATCATCGCGGAGATGCCGACCGTGGGGTTGAAGAAGCCGAGAGGGCTGACGGTGTCATCCATCTCCTGCCAGGCACCGGTCAGCGGGTTCGTCATGTACGTGGTGCCGTCCGCGGAGATAAGGGTGGAATTGATCGCGTAACCCCCGCCGAAGATGCCGCTGAACTTGAGCGAGAGGCGGTCCGGCTTGACCACCTCCACCAAGGCTTCCTGCACGACCAAGGCCGGAATGAACTCTGTGCCGCCCTCGTTGTGGGTCAGCTCGAACCGGAACGATTCCAGGTCCTGCATCGCCTTGCCCGAACCTTCGAGGACCGCCGTGGGATCGAACGGCACGGGCGTCGGGGTGGGGGTTGGGGTCGGAGTGGGAGTTGGCGTCGGACTCGGAGTGGGAGTCGGCGTCGGACTCGGGGTCGGACTGGGGACTGGTGTGGCTTCCGGAGCGCCACTGCCTCCTCCGCAAGCCATCACGAACATAAACAGAGTGGCGACGCGGACGCCGCGAGGGTTGGGCCTATCGCTTCAGCATTCCGCGACAGGGTCGGAGCAGTCTCGCGCGTAACCGCATATGGTGCACTTCAGCTTGCAATGACGACTACAACTATGCTCCCGCATATATCACAGAGGACTCGATTCCGGTGATGATTGCCGATTGTGTCGCGCCCCTTGGCTGCTGACATTTACCCCTATATACACAAGACCCCGCCCCCGGTATCAGGGGCGGGGAGTCTTGTTAGATCCGAAAGCTATCTAGAGCGAGTTACGCTGAGTCTCGCCGTCCCCTGAGTGCGAACATTGCGCCCGCTGCCAGGAGCAGCACCGAGAAGACCAGCACCAGTTGCATGACGGCCGGTACCGAGCTGTCGCCAACGGTAGGCGGTACTGGCGTGGGCGTGGGCGGTGGCGGTGGCGGGGGCGGGGTCGGCACCGGTGTGGCCGTCGGTGGCGGTACTGGTGTAGGCGTGGCCGTAGGCTCTGGCGTAGCCGTGGGCTCCGGCGTAGGAGTGGGGAAACCGCCGACCTGCAGATTGTACGTCGCCATCATCTGAGGCAGCGACATAAGCCTTGGACGCGCCTCCCGATTCAGGCGTACCGGTCAGTGCGCCGTCCAGGAAGCCTGCGGCGCCGCCGGCTGCCAGCCTGGCGAGCACCTGCGTGGCTGCATTGATGGCGATCACGGCCTCGTCGCGCGCCATCCCAGCCGACTCGTGAGCGTGCCGCGCGCCTGCCTCGACCCTTCCGGCGCCGCCCGCTCCGGCTGCGCCGGCTGCTATCGCAGAATCGATGACCGGCTCAGCATTGTGCAAGATCTCCGTACGCATCGCGGGGTTGTTCACCGAACCGTTTCCATCGATGTCGGCCGAGGAGCCCTCAATCATGTTGACGACGCCCTCGAGGTAGTTCTTGGCATCCGCGAGGGACGATACGCTCTGGGCCGTCCTGGCCATCTGCAGGGCCTCGGCAAGCTGCGTCCTGATCCCGTCCGCGGGGCTCCCATCGCCGACGATTGCCCTGATGTGCTCTGCCGCGCCCATGGGAATCTGGCTGGAGAAGACGACTGGGCCGCCCGGCTCGGACGGGTCGGTGCCGGCGGCCTCTTCCGTAACGGCCACCTTGTCGTAGCCCTGGATCAGGTTCTCGCCGGTGTACCGGGAGTTGTCCCTGTCGAAGGTATGCATGATGGAGCCGTCGTTGAGGCGCTCCATCGGACCCGTGCTCAGCTTGACCGAGCCGTCGTCCGATAGCAGCCAGCCAACGTACTCAGTGCCCTCGGAGGGCGGGGGAACATTCATCGTGTAAGTTATCGAGTCGCTCAACGCCTGATCGTCCGAGATCGTCGCAGTGCCCGGTGAGCCTTGGGCAGTTGCGTCCTGTGACAGCGAGAGGCCCGCGGTCACAGCTACGATCGTGACGATAGCCAGGATAAGAATCGACTTTAGCCTAGGCATAATCACGCCTTCCTCCTACGACCGAGAGGGTCTGGTGAGATGGGTCTGCATTACATTACCACAAGCGGAGCTATTCGCATAGACTCCCAGCGGACGAATATTACCACAATTCCGTTATCCGCTAAAGGTCACCCTTCAGGATGGTCGGACCCTGCGGCATGTTGTCTTCGGAGTCGTTTCTGGGGACGACGTTCCCCTCTATCGTCACCGAGACCGCGTCTATCCACGAAAGCGGGACGAACAGTCGCAGGTTCACGTGCCCATGTCCATCCGGGCCCACCTGCAGTGTCCCCGCCCTGTAACGCTGGCCTTCGGTCGTGAACCATACCCCGTAGGTCTGACCCTTCGGAAGCTGAGGCATGCCGATCCCTACCAGTAGAGCGGAGTTGCTCGACCTGGGCACGAGGAACATCCCGCGCGCAGTGTCGGTCGCCCGCGTGGCTGAAAGCTCTTCTAACGCGAGACCGGGGGCCGCCGCCGAGTACGCGAGGAACAGCTGGTCGTTCTCTCCCGCACTCCCGATTGCCTCCGAGGGGGCGACCCCGCCGACGGTTCCGCTCCCCTGCCTACTCTCGTTCCACATGCTGGCAAGCACAAGCGCCAGCACCAGCACTGCCGCCACCGCGAGCCCCGGCTTGGTGGTCAACTCCATGCCAGCGCGAATGAGGAGATGGTGGACGGGGATCTGGCTCCGGTCCGCGTCGACCCTGGCGATGAGTTTCTGCTTCACCCTGGAGGGCGGCTGGAGATGCGGCGTTCCGAGCATCAGCCCTGACACGCCCTCTTCATCCTTGCCGAGCAGGCCCGCGCAGGACTTGCAAGACTCCACGTGCATGTCGATCTTCAGAAGGTCATCCCCGCCGAGTTCGCCCAGCAGGTAGGGGGCGGCCCGTTCTTCCGTATCTCTGCAGTCCATGCCTAGACCCACTCCCGGGACTGGGGGCCTACGACCTCTCTTAGCTTTCTCAACCCCAATCTCATCCTTGTCTTGACGGTGCCCAGAGGCTGGCCCAGCCTGCTGGCAATCTCCGAGTGCGTAAGCCCGCCGAAGTATGCCAGCTCAATCACCACCCGCTGCTCTGCCCTAAGCTTCGAGAGCGCATCCTTCAGCATCCCTCTCTGCATCCTCAAATTGGCGAAGCGGGTCGGATCGTTCGTGTCGTCGGCGGGCTGGTCCGCTAGCTCGACGTCCTGGTGCACGTGCGTCTGCTCGCGCCGCTTGCGCCTTCTTATCTCGTCTATGACCCGATGACGGCAGATGCTGAACAGCCACGCCGTCACCTTGCCCCGCTCGGGCTTGTAGCTCCCCGCCCGCTTCCACACGTTGAAGAAGGTGTCCTGCGTGACCTCTTCCGCTGCCCCGGAATCCCTGAGCATTCTAACCGCGAGGGAGTATATGGGCCCCGAAAACCTTGCGTACAACTCCTCCAGCGCGCGCCGGTTCTTCTCTGCGATCTCCAGCACGAGCTCCTGATCGGACAGGACATCGCAGTCCTGGCCTGCCGTACCCATTCCCAGATACGAACGTAGACCGTCGGTCAGATTCCCCCGGCCAATGTTCTGGAGGTTTCCAGGCAGCACGTCCCGCTCCCTTGTAGTGCTAGGTAGGCGGTATCATAACAGAGGAACGCAACGCTGTGATACCCCCGCAGTCTCACAGATGTTGGGGCCTCCGGGGTTCCGTCATTTGGGCGCTGAGCCGGTCGGCAGTCCGTTGCGGCCGTTGGGTGTGAATTTGTTATCATGTGCCGCGTGTGTCGCCGATGCACGACGCGACCATGACGCGGGGCGCGAACATCTGGAAGGCAGGTATGTATGACCACAGAACGAGAGAAGGCGCTCGACTTGGCCCTCGGTCAGATCGAGCGCCAGTTCGGAAAAGGGTCGATCGTCAGGCTGGGGGATTCCGGCCAGCCCGCTCAGATCCAGGCAATATCCACGGGCTCACTCACCCTCGATATGGCGCTGGGCGTAGGCGGCATGCCGCGAGGCCGCGTCGCAGAGGTCTTCGGGCCGGAGTCGTCAGGCAAGTCGACCCTTGCCTACCACGTAATGGCCGAGGCGCAGCGCTCGGGCGGTGAGGCGGCGTACATAGACGCCGAGCACGCGCTCGACGCGACATACGCCGCCACCTGCGGCGTGAACATCGACGACCTGCTCGTCTCCCAGCCTGACTCGGCCGAGCAGGGCCTGGAGATCTGCGAATACCTGGTCCGGAGCGGCGCTCTGGACATCGTCGTGGTGGACAGCGTTGCGGCACTGGTGCCACGATTGGAGCTGGAAGGCGACATGGGCGATACCCACGTCGGCCTGCAGGCCCGCCTCATGTCCCAGGCCCTCAGGAAGCTGACCGCGGCCATTAGCCGGTCGAACACCGCCGTGATGTTCATCAACCAGATCAGGGAGAAGGTGGGCGTGCTGTGGGGCAGCCCCGAGACGACGCCGGGGGGCAGGGCCCTGAAGTTCTACAGCTCCGTCCGCGTCGACCTGCGGCGGATAGAGTCGGTCAAGCAGGGCAAGGAGATCGTCGGCGCCCGGATACGAGCAAGGGTCGTAAAGAACAAGGTAGCTCCGCCGTTCAAGGTCGCCGAGTTCGATATGATGTTCAACGAGGGCATCAGCAAGGAAGGCGATCTTGTCGACCTCGCGCAGCGAGGCGGGGGTGATCAAGAAGAGCGGCTCGTTCTATTCGTTCGGAGACGTGCGGCTGGGCCAGGGCAGGGAGAACGCAAAGGAGTTCCTCAGGGAAAATGAGGAGATCGCCGACGACATCGAGGGCCTCGTGAGAGACGCCGCGACGACACAGAGTTGACGGCGGACCCTCAGGCCGGGTTCACCGGTGCATGACTTGAATCCCATTTCCGACGAACCTCCGTTACGCCCCTTCAAAAGGAAGGGACACCTGCGCGGGCTGTCCCGGAGCCGGTCGCCAGCCCGCTCCGGGCGACGTCGCTTCCTCGCTGCGCAGCTTGCCGCTGCCGGGCAGGCAGCTCCGGCCTCACTCCGTAGGACGCCTCGATTCAACATCGCCTGGAGGCCTGCGTAATGTCAGGCGTCGAGCTCAGCGATCTTGTCATCGCCGCGGTCCTGGTGCTTCTTTCCGCCTTCTTTTCGAGCTCGGAGTCGGCCTTCCTGTCCCTGCAGGACACAGCGCGTCTGCGCCACCTCGTCAGTAGGGGATCTCGGGACGCCATTCGCGTGGAAGAAATGCTGAAAGAGCCCGGCCGGCTGCTTTCGACGATCCTGTTGGTGAACAACCTCGTCAACATCGGATTCGCTGCCCTCGTCACCGTGATCGTGATCTCATTCCTCGGCGAGCGCACCGGCGTCGTGGCATCGACCGTGGTAGCCACGGTGGTGCTCCTCATATTCGGAGAGGTAGTCCCCAAGACGCTGGCGGTCCGCCACGCCGAGCGGGTTGCGTTCCTGGCTGCACGCCCCCTGAAAGTCGCCGAATTCGCCCTGCTGCCCATCGTGGCGGTGCTGCAATGGATCAGCCGGCTTGCCACCGTGGGCCGCGAGGCTCGGGACACGTCCATCACGGAAGGTGAGCTCAGGACCCTCATTGACATTGGCGAGGCCGAGGGCGAGTTCGAGCCGGAAGAGGCGGAGATGCTCGAGAGCGTCTTCCGGTTCGGCGACCGCCAGGTCCGCGACATGATGACGCCGCGTACGGAGATGGTATCCGTGGCGCGTGGCACGTCTATGCAGGAGTTCCTCAGGCTCTACGCCGAGCACGCCCACACGCGCTTCCCCGTCTACAAGAACTCGACCGACAACGTGGTCGGAATCCTGTCGGCCAAGGACATCCTCAGGTCCATGGCGGCAAACAGGGTGGACCTGGACGGCATCGTCACGGACGTGATCAGGGACGCCTACTTCGTGCCGGAGACGAAGAGGATCGCCGAGCTATTCGAGGAGCTGCGCGACACCGGCAACCAGATGGCCATAGTCATCGACGAGTTCGGGGGCGTGGCGGGCCTGGTGACCCTCAAGAGGCTGCTCGAAGAGGTGGTCGGTCGCGTCGGCGAGGAGGGAGTTAGGCCCGAGGAGGAGTATGAGACGCTCGGACGTGACACCTACCAGGTCGATGGCGGCATGAGCGTCGACGAGGTCCTGGACGAGCTCGACATCGACCTGGGCGACGGCGACTACGAGACGGTGGCAGGGTTCGTGCTGGACGCTCTCGGCCACATTCCGAGTGAGGGAGAGACCTTTGAGACTGCCGGGCTCTCGGTCGAGGTCGCGGAGATGAAGGGACTGAAGATCGAGGCGGTCAAGCTCATCAGGAAGCCGTCCAGCGGCCGGCCGGCCTGACCGGAACGGCGCGCCAAGCCTCAAGATGGCCCATGAAGGGTTGATCGACCGCCTCGAAACACAGGTGGTGCGCGCCGCGGGGCGTTGCGGGCTAACGCCGGGCGACCTGCTGGTCGTTGCAATATCCGGTGGCCCGGATTCCCTCGCTCTTCTTCACGCCCTGGCCCGCACGAGGCGGGAGACGTCACTGAGGCTCCACGCCGCCCATCTCGACCACGGCCTGCGGGGGGCAGAGTCCCAGGCCGACGCTGTCTTCGTGACGCAGACCTGCTGCGGCCTCGGGCTCGACCTCACCTCCGAGAGTGTGGATACGGGCGCCTTCCGCAGGGCTCACCGCCTCTCCCTCGAGGACGCGGCCCGCAGGCTCCGTTACGGCTTCCTTTCGCGGGTCGCCGCCGAGCTGGGCGCGAGGGCCGTGGCAGTTGGGCACACTGTAGACGACCAGGCTGAGACACGTCTTGATGAACATCGTCCGCGGCGCGGGGCTGACCGGCCTCCGCGGAATGAGCGAGTCCACCGTCAGGAGCATCGAAGGCTCTGACGTTCACGTAATCCGGCCGCTCCTGGCGGGCGTTGTCCAGATGCGACACCGAGGGGTACTGCGAGGCGCTCGGGCTGGCGCCTAGACACGACTCGTCCAACAGCTCGCCGCTCATGCTCAGGAACAGGATCAGGCACGAGCTCATGCCGTCCATCGCGCAGATCAATCCCCAGGTCAAGGATGCCGTCCTGAGGCTCTCGGCGAGCGCCCGGCGCGACCTGGAGTACGTCGAGCGGGCGGTCGACGATGTGTGGCCTGATGCCGTGGAAGCGCGGAGCGGCCACATAGCGGTCGACAGGGCCGCGTTCGCCGGGCTGGACGCCGCGGTGGCGCGCACCTGTTGCGCCGGGCGGTGGGACTGGCGTCGGACGGCCTGTCCGACCTGGGGCTCCGCCACGTGGACGAGATGCTGGACCTGCTGAACGGACGGGCCGGCGGGCGATCGACCTGCCCGGCAGTCTGGTCTTCAGCGTTGGCTATCAGGAGGCGACTCTGGGACCGGCGGGGGTCGATACGTGCCCGCTCCCCCGCCTCGACGACGAGGTCGAGCTCGAGGTGCCAGGCGAGACTGCGGTCGGCGGCTGGCGTGTGGTTGCCGAGGTCGGGGGAAATCTCGAAGACACCCAGGCACACGCTATGTGTGCGTCGATCTCGTCCAGGACTGCCAGTGGTGGGCTCAGTGTACGCACCCCGTCCCGAGAGCCGTCTTCCCGCCGCGGGGCTGTCTGGCCTCAAGATAGTCAGGACTCTCATGTCGCCTCCAGGATCGACCGGTCGTGGCGGGACCGCATACCGCTGGTAGTCGCCGGAGAGCGGTCATAGCCTGGGTGGTCGGCTGGCGGCTGGCCGAGTGGGCCCAGGCCGAGGGGACTGGCGACGACGTGAGCCTGCGCTTCATTCCGTCTGAGGACGGCCCGGACTGATTGACGCCCTACGGCGGCGGCGCAGGTAGTACAATGCCGCGCGCAGTCGACGACGACAGGAGAGCATGAAGTGCCAGCGTTCGAAGGAATCGTTCCGGCGATTATCACGCCCATGACCGGCGACGGCGAAGTCGACGAGGAGGCATTCCGCGTCGTGATGGAGGACAACATCCAGGCCGGCGTTCACGGCTTCTGGACGGCCGGCGGCACTGGTGAGAGCGTCCTCCTCACCGACGACGAGAACCACCGCATCGCCCGGGCGGCGGCCGACCAGAACCAGGCGCACGAACGTCATCATGCACGTCGGGGCGCAGACGACGGCCCGCGCCGCCCGGAACGCCGAGCACGCGGCATCTGCCGGCGTCGAGGCGATATGCGCCGTACCGCCCTTCTTCGGCCACCTCGGAGACGAGGGTGTAGCCGACTACTACAGGACCGTCGCGGCGGCGGCCGACCTGCCCCTCTTCGCCTACAACCTCCCCCAGGCGACGGGTGTGGAGCTCACGCCCGACCTCATGAAACCGCTGCAGGACAAAGTGCCACAGCTCACCGGACTCAAGCACTCGGGCTACGACATGAACAACGTCTACCTGTTCGCAAAGATGGGCCTGCGTGTCTTCACCGGCATGGGGAGGTTGATGCTGCCGGGCCTGACGGTCGGCGCAGCCGGGTGCGTGGATGGTCCGCCCTGCCTGGCTCCCGAGCTATGGGTAGCTATATGGGACGCCTACAAGGCTCGTGATCTCGACCGTGCCGAAGAGGCGCAGGCCAGGGCCAGCGAGGTCGAGGATATGGTCATAGACCTGGGTTATCTGGGCGCGCTGAAGGCCGCAGTTGGGGAGCGGCTGGGCATAGAGACCGGGGACCTCGCCCTCCAACCCCGAGCGCGACGCCCGAGCAGGAGCGCTCGCCCGCGAGGCCGTGCACCGCCTCGGCATCGCCAAGGTCGCCAAGTAGACACATCACCGCACCAAAGGAGAGGACAGTGGCCAGATACACCGAGCTGAAGCACCAACTTGGCGTCACGTCAGCCGCGGGACTAGAAACGCTCAGGCGGTTCGGCCTGAATACCGAAGCGTCAATGGCCGACGACATCGACGAGATGGACGAGCTCGCCGAAGTCTTGGTCAGCGCCCACGCGCCCGCCGTGGTCGACGACGTGCGACTCAACATCGCCGCGCCCGACGCCGACTTTCGGAAGATGTCGCTCGAGGTCATCGTTGACTACATAGCCAGGGCGGCCAGGTACCCGAACGTCAAACAGATCAACATGCACTTCGCGCCCAAGCGCTGGAGCGACGCCGCTCAGACGGTGGGGCGAGAGGGGACGTACGACCTGCTCATAGGCGGGATCCGCCAGGTAGCGGCGTTCTGCGAGCGGCACGACCTGGAGCTCGTCCTCGAGAACCTAAACTCCTACTGGAGCGACGACATCAAGGAAACTCCGTACGGTGAAGTCGACTGGTCCAGCCGCAATCAGTACTTTGGCATGGCGCCGGAGGAGTGGCAGCAGATTGTCATCGACGTCGACTGCGCCAACGTCGGCCTCTGCCTCGACTCGAGCCACGTCGTCACCTACTCGCACCGCTTCCCAGAAGAGCGGCGTGAGGAGCGCGTCCTGGCCTTCCTCTCGCGCCCCGAGCTCATCCGCCACGTCCACTGGAACGACAACTACCTGTACGACGCCCGGGGACGAGACGACTCACACGCCCCGCTCGACAGGGGCTCCCTCCCGACGGAGATGCACCGGCGCATCAAGTACCTCGACGCGACCCTGCTCCTCGAGCACTTCTACGACGTGGAGGTGCTCGAAGAGGAGCTGGCGTTCATCGACAGCCTGTAATGCGGGTGTGGATCCCAGAAAAGCGCATCGACACCCCTGAGATCAAGTACGGGGTGTCGAATTAGGGGGCAATCGGGAACGAGGAGGCTGCTCCCTCGCGTTTGCTCAGACGGAGTAAGAGTCGACCAGCTCCCGGGCGGTCTTCGGCTTGGCCTTGCTGAGCATTCCCCGCCATGCGGTCCTCGAACGAGAACTGGCTGGCATCCTTGTATAGGATGCCCAGGGGCACTCCGCCCTCTTCGACGATGCCTTTGGCCGCGCGCATGTCGGAGTTGTCGTGGCCGTCGGCGATCGCCCAGGCGAGGGGCGCGATGCCCTTGCGCTTGTTCCCCTTGAGCTCCTCGTACGTGTTGTTGAAGACCGTGCACGGCGACTGCACGTGCACAATCGAGAAGCCGGGGTGCTCCATCCCCTCGTAGATGAGGTCCGCCAGGTCCTTGATCTTGGTGGATATGCCCGACGCCACGAAGGACGCTCCTATGGCCAGGTAGAAGTTCAGGGCGTCGATGCCGGCGTCCGGCTTTCCGTATGGCGTGGAGCTGGTCACCATTGCCCTCGGCGGCTGTGGGTGAGCTCTGGCCCTTGGTCAGGCCGTACACCGCGTTGTCCATTATCACGGCGCAGACGTTAAGGTTTCGCTGCGCCTGGGGCGCGATGTGCTCCATTCCGATGCTGAGGAAATCGCCGTCTCCCGCCACGACCACGACGTTGAGTTCGGGCCGGCCCATCTGTTTACGCCGAGGGCGATCGGCAGGGTCCGCCCGTGAAGGCCGTGTATGCCGTAAGGCTGAGCGCCTTCGAGTAGATGCACCATGTTACCGGAGCAGCCTATACCAGCTACCACGACGTTCTGCTCTACGGGCTCCTCCCGCTCGATGATCCGCCTGGCTACGGCCTGCTCCAGGGCGCGGCGCACCCCAAAGTCGCCGCAGCCTGGGCACCACTTGAAATCGTATTCCGGGTTCTTGTCGCTCATACGGCCACACGCTCCTTTCGGGTCGCGGCGATTCTGTCGGAGATGCGCTCTACCAGGTCACTGACCTTGAAGGGTAGGCCCGTGTACTGGGTTATCGACTCGGCCCTGACGCCCTTGGATCTCAAGTAGGACGAGAACTGGCCCTGGTAGTTCAGCTCGGGCACTATGACCAACTCCTTCTCTCGAAGCTCGTCAAGCAGCATCGGCGGCAGCGGGTTGAGGTACATGGTGAAGTACCAAGCCACGTCCACCTCGCCCGCGATGAGCTGCTGGTAGGCCTCTATGGACGGACCCTTCGAGCCGCCCCAGGGCATGACCGCCACGGGCGCGTCGATATTCTGAGACTCATAGGTGCCGTCTTCCAGGAGCTTCAGCTTGCTGAAACGGCGTTCGGTCATCTCGACGTGCCGCTGCGGCAGGTGGGTGGTGTCACCCCACGGGTCGTGCTCGCTTGCGTTCGCGACGTAGCTGCCGGGACTCCCCGGAAGGGGCATCGGCGACAGCTCCGACGCTTCATACCTCAGGTAGCCGTTGCCGCCCTCGTAGACCGTCCGGTTTTCCACGGGAATCGAGTCCAGGTCCGGCTTGCGGAAGTTCTGCTCTCGCTCTGAGAGCGCGTGCTCGCTAAGCACGATTACGGGTCCCTGGTACCTCTCCGCCCAGTTGAATGCTTCGACGGCAGCGTAGAAGCACTCTTCCACTGTGCCCGGGGCGATCACCGGCAGGGAAACGTCGCCGTGTGCCGGATGCAGCGCCGCGAACAGGTTCGACTGCTCCGTCTTGGTCGGGAGGCCCGTGGCCGGGCCGCCGCGCTGCACGTCCACGACTACGCAGGGTATCTCGGCCATCCAGGCCAGGCCCAGTCCCTCGCTCATCAGCGAGAACCCGGGCCCCGCAGTCGCCGTCATTGACTTGGCGCCGCCGTACCCCGCGCCGATGATCGCGTTTATGGCCTCGATCTCGGAGCTGACCTGGTATACGAACTGCCCGTCGCCGACCAGCTGCTCCTCCATCCATACCAGGATCGTAGTTGCGGGAGATATCGGATAGCCGACGTAGAAGTTCAGGCCCGCGTGAACCGCGCCAAGGGCCAGAGCGTAGTTGCCATTGGTGAATATCTGCTCGTATTGGGGGGGCTCGGGCGGGGCCAGCTCGCCCAGGCTGAAGCCGCTCTCGGCGGCGGCCTGCTTGCCGAGCTTCAATGCCTCGATGTTCTGCGGAACGATCTTTGGACCGTATCGCGCGGTGTTGCCCCAGCGCCGCCTGACGAACTCCTCGAGGACATCCAGGGGCACGCCGACGAGCTCGGCCAGGGTGCCCATCAACACCATGTTGGCAGCCCTGGCGTTGCCGGTGGACTTGCCCAGCTTGTCGAAGGCGATCCCGAGGCTGCGGCCATCCTCCTCCAGCGTCATCGAGTCTGAGTCGTATAGGATGACGCCGCCTTCCTTAACCTCATTCATGTGGGTCTCGTATGATTCTTCGTTGAACACGGCAAGCACGTCGAGGGAGTCACCCCGGCTGAAGATCGGCCTGGTGGATATGCGGGCCTGCATCCAGGTGGGCCCGCCTGTGATCTGGGACGGGAAGGTGGCGAACGTCTGGGCGTGGTACTCGGGCCTGGGTGTTGGCGCTAGCGAACCCTACTGCGGCGCTAAGGAAGCCCTGGCCGCCCTCTCCTGCAAAGCGTAGAACGAAATCGGTCTTCTTCAAGTATCGCCCTCCGGGCGGCGTCGAGCGCCTGATCGGCCCGACACCTTGACAAGTCGGCCCGAGGGCACCGAATGGACTGACGAGTTCCGGCGCATCACTCGGGCGAGGACAGGTAGGCTCTATTGTTTCAATTGGAAATTTAGCAGGCCGGGGCCTCGGCTGTCAATGTAAACCAGCTTCGCGCGCGGCGCCTGAAGCCCCTCCGGGCGGCCCTCCAGTTCTATGTGTCGGCGGCTTCGTACAGGGGCTCCGCTGGGGAGAAGGAGGCGTGCTCCCTGTCCCCGAATGCGCCTGATCTAGGGCTGGCGGCCGCGTCCCTGTAAGCGTCCCTGCCGGCCTGTGCGCCGCGCTCGTTGTGATGGAAGCGACGGCGGCTCCAGAGGTCATCGAAGTACTCCGGGGTGAATAGCTCGCGGTCGTCCGACACGCTCACCAGTTCCGAGGAGAGGTTTGCTGGGAAGGCGGCAACCTCCACGTGTTTGCCCATGTCCTTCACCGCCTGCACGGCGTAGGAGAAGTCCCCGTCGCCGCTCACCAGAACCGCGACGTCGTACCGGTCGTCCCAGGCGAACCTGAGCAGGTCGGTCGCGATCATGATGTCGACGCCCTTCTGCACTGTGGCCGAGCCCCGCATCTTGGACCCGCCCAGGCGCACCTCGAGGTACGGCGTGTTATGTAGGGCTGTGAGAAACTTCTGTTGGTCCTGGTACCCTTGGGGACTGCGCTCGGGGTCCTGCAGCACGTTGTAGTAGTAGGTGCGGAACATCGTCCGGCCCTTCGCCAGCTTCTGTGAGAAAGCATGGAAGTTGAGGTCGTACCTGCCGCAGTTCTCCTCAAGGCTGTGGTACAGGTTGCTGCCGTCAATGAAGATGGCAACGCGGCGCGCCAAGGCGTTACCGGTATGCGTCTCTGAATCGTACATCATGTGGTAAGAAGTCGGCTCTTAAGGTAGGGGTTCGGGTCGCTTTCCGCGATTATACAGCACCTGCGCAAATTGACACCCTATCCGCCGCCATGCTATATTCACGCTGTCGAACAAAGCATATATCGCAGATTGCGTTGAAGGGGAGTAGTAGCGGAATGGCGCGCCTTAGAGAGCCGGGGATGGTGGGAGCCCGGCGTGCTGCGGCCGCGAACTCGCCCCTGAGCACCCGTCCTGAGGGAGCCGGAGGAGACAACGTGCAGAGTATAGCCGGAAGGTCCCGGCGCTCTGCGCGCTTGGTCATTCGAACGGACACCGCGTAGGGTCGGGCGGCAGGCACCGTTACAGCCTCCGAGTGGCCTCGACGACAGTCGGGGCAATTAGGGTGGTACCACGAGACCTCGAGTCCCGTCCCTTTGTCAGGGCGGGGCTTTTTTTTATTGAGGCCTCCGGTTTCGACGGCTCCAAGGAGGAGAGGAACAGAGATGAAGATGAACGGCTCGCAGATGGTTTGCGAGAGCCTGATACGAGAAGGCGTAGACGTGATCTTCGGCCTTCCGGGCGGGGCCATCCTGCCCCTGTACCAGACCCTGCCTGAGTTCCCGCAGCTGCGCCACATCCTCGTCCGTCGAGCAGGGCGCAGCCCACGCCGCTGACGGTATGCCCGCGTCACCGGGCGCCCCGGAGTAGCTGGGCAACGTCCGGCCCCGGAGCGACGAACCTCGTGACAGGGATCGCGACGGCACAGATGGACTCCATCCCGATGGTGGTAATCACGGGCCAGGTCCGAGAGCCGCCATCGGCAGCGACGCCTTCCAGGAGACCGACACGACAGGCATCACGCTCCCATACACCAAGCACAACTACCTCGTCATGGACCCGGCGGACATACCGAGGGTGATCAAGGAGGCGTTTTACATTGCCGGCTCGGGCCGGCCCGGCCCTGTGCTCGTCGACATACCGAAGGACGTGCAGCAGGAGGTGGCCGAGTTCGTCTACCCGGACGAGATCGACCTGCCGGGCTATCAAGCCCAACATGGAGGGCCACGGGAGCCCAGATCAAGCGCGCGGCGAAGGTCATCGCCGAGTCCAGCAGGCCGGTGATCCTCGCCGGTCACGGCGTCATATTCTCGGGCGCCTACGACGAGGTGCGCGAGCTGGCCGAGAAGGCGCAGATAACCCGTGATCACGACGCTGCTCGGCATTAGCTCTTTCCCCGACGACCACGTTCTATGTGTTGGGATGCCGGGATGCACGGCATGGCCTACGCTAGCAAGGCCATCGAGAGGCCGACCTGCTCATCGCGCTGGGCATGCGCTTCGACGACAGGATCACCGGCAAGCCCAGCGAGTTCGCCCTGGGCTCTAGGAAGATACACATCGACATCGACCCGTCTGAGATCGGCAAGAACGTGCCCGTCGACGTACCGATCGTCGGCGACCTCAAGCGCGTCCTCCTGAAGCTGAACAAGCTCGTTGCCCCGGTGACCCGCCTGGAGTGGGTCCAGCACATCGAGCTGCTCAAGCGGGACCACCCATCGATGTTCATCCGGCCGACGGACAAGCTGCTGCCGCATTTCATCATCAACCAGCTCTCAGAGGCTACCGACGGCAGGGCCATCGTCGTCACGGGGGTCGGCCAACACCAGATGTGGGCTGCGCAGCACTACATCTATCTTCAAGAGCCGCGGACTGGGTTTAGTCGTCGGGCGGGTTCGGGGCGCCATGCTACGAACGGTGCCGGGCCGCCATGCCCAGGTCGGCGCGCCGGAGCGTTTCGTTTTTTATAGGTCGTTGTGGTCCGTCGCCGGCGACGGCGGCTTCCAGATGACGATGGCCGAGCTTGCCACGCTGGTCGAGAACCGTATCAACGTCAAGTTCGCCATCATTAACAACTCGTTCCTGGGCATGGTGCGGCAGTGGCAGGAATTCTTCTACCACAAGAGCTACGTCGCCACGCAGTACACTCACAACCCGGACTTCGTGAAGCTGGCGGACGCGTTCGGGATGCTGGGGATCAGGGTGACCGACAAGACCCAGGTGATGCCGGCGATCATGGAGGCGATGGAGCACGACGGCCCCGCGCTGATCGACTTCGTCGTCGAGGAAGAGGAGAACGTATACCCGATGATCCCGGCAGGCCAGACCATTCACGACCTCATAGAGGAGCCGCTGCCAGAGGGGGTGCGACAGTGACCACCAACGGGCGCGTGCCCAGACGGACCATCACCGCCCTGGTGCAGGACAGGCCGGGTGTCCTGAACATGGTCTCGAGCATGTTCAGACGGCGTGGCTTCAACATCGCCAGCTTGGCCGTGGGCCACAGCGAGGAGCCCGACCTCTCGCGCATGACCTTCGTCGTCGAGGGTGACGACAGGGTCGTCGAGCAGGTGACCAAGCACCTTCACAAGCTGATCGACGTGATCAAGGTCTCGGACAAATCTCGAACCAGAACATCGTCTCGCGAGAGCTCGCGCTCATAAAGGTCAGGTCGAACGTGCAGTCCCGCAGCGAGATCATGCAGATCGTCCACATCTTCCGCGCCAACATCGTGGACGTGGCGGCCGACTCGCTCATCGTCGAGGTCATCGGGACGAGGGACAAATATCGTCGCCCACGCCTTCCTAAGAGCTTCGGGGTCGTCGAAGTGATGAGGACTGGCACGATCGCAATGAATCGGGGCGCGGACAGCAGAGGGAGGCGGCAGTCGTCCAAGGTCGACTGGGGCGTGGCGTCGTCGGTATAACACAGCACAGAAACTTGGGAGAGGACTCAGCAATGGCAAAGATGTACTACGAGAACGACGCCGACATGTCCCTTCTGGACGGCAAGACCGTGGGGATCGTTGGCTATGGGAGCCAGGGCCACGCACACGCGCTCAACCTGAACGAGAGCGGGGTCGACGTGGTGGTCGGCTTGTATGAGGGCAGCAGGCAGGAGCAAGGAGAAGGCCGAGGGCGAAGGCCTCCGGGTCGAGCTGGTGGCCGACGCGGCGCGCGACTCGGACGTCGTCATGATGCTCATCCCCTGACACACGTGCAGTGTGTACAGGAGTCGGTCGAGCCTCAAAAAACCCCTGGTCGGTCCGGCGAAGACGCTGACTGCTGTCGCCCACGGCTCACATCCACTACGAGACTATCGTGCCCGAGCGCGGTCGACGTGTCGATGGTTGCGCCCAAGGCGCCCGGGACACCGGATGCGCGAGGTCTTCACGCGGGGCTCAGGGGTACCCGGGCTTCTCGCGATACACCAGGATGCCTCGGGCATGGCACGACATCGGCCTGGCCTATGCGCGTGGCGTCGGGTGCACCCGAGCCGGCGTGCTGGACACGACCTTCAAGGAGGAGACGGAGACCGACCTGTTCGGCGAGCAGTCCGTCCTCTGCGGCGGCGTCACGGCGCTGATCAAGGCCGCGTTCGAGACGCTGGTGGAGGCCGGGTACCAGCCGGAGTCGGCCTACTTCGAGTGCATGCACGAGCTGAAGCTGATCGTCGACCTGCTCTACCAGGGCGGCATGGAGTACATGAGGTACTCGGTCAGCGACACGGCCGAGTACGGCGACTACTCGCGCGGCCCGGCCGTGATCGACGAGCACGTCAAGGAGAACATGAAGCGGTGCTGGAGGCGGTCCAGGATGGCAGCTTCGCCCGCGAGTGGATCGCGGAGAACGACGAGGGCCGTCCCCGCTTCGACCGGCTCCGCAAGGAGAACGCGGAGCATCCCATCGAGAGTGTTGGCAAGGAGCTGCGCGGAATGATGTCGTTCCTGAAGGAGGCCGACTAGCCATGGGAGAGGGCATTCGAAGTACGGACGTACCGCGACGCCGACAGGGAGGGCGTGACCGCGCTGTGGGCGGGGATCTTCGTCGGAGGATATGAGGCGCCCCACAACGACCCTGCCGTATCAATCGACCTGAAGACCGCCTACGACCCCGAGCTGTTCCTGGTCGCTGTAGACGGCAGCCATTTGGTTGGGACTGTGATGGGCGGGTACGACGGGCACCGCGGCTGGATATACGTCGCTGGCGGTCGACGAGAACGAGCGCCACAGGGGGATCGGGACCGAGCTGATGGCAGAGGCGGAACGGAGGCTGAAGGGCCGGGGTTGCCTCAAGGTGAACCTGCAGGTGATGCCGGACAACGAAGGGAGTCGTGCAGTTCTACCAGGAGCTGGGGTTCTCGGTCGAGGACCGGTTGAGCATGGGCAAGAGGCTGTATTGAGGGAGTGATCTATCACATCGCGACAAGGACAGAATGGGAGTCCCAGGCCGATGCGCCGAGGTACGCGCCCGACAGGTACGAGGCGGACGGTTTCATACACTGCTCCGAACAGCAACAGCTGGAGCCGGTGGCCGGGTACAACTTCCGGGGCCGGGACGACCTGGTGCTGCTGGAGCTGATGCCTACGAAGCTGGA